TGGGAACCACTCTGGCCAACACAGAAATACAATACCTAGAACCCCGACATAGAAACACAACACATAGATTAACACACCCTGGCTCAACATAACAGTGTCCCCAGAGCCAGGGCGTGACAAACATGCACAATTGGTGGCTGACTAAATACTTTTTTTCCCCACTGTATGAACCAGGTGTGTGTAATTGACAAGACAAATGGAATGATGAGATGAGGAGCGGCAGTGGCTAGTAAGCCGGTGACGACGAACGCCAAAGCCTGCCTGAACAAGGAGGGGAGGCAGCCTCGTCGGAAGTCGTGACACAATCACTTCAAAGGGCTCCTTTACTAGGCTACACGAGCACGTTCATCCACTCACAACATACAGTATTTCCAGCCTCCAAACAGTGGTGAATGGAAAGAGACATCTTTTACACAAAACACCAGAAAGTGTAGGCCTAATGACATTTGGCGATTGTCATTAGGACAGAATTTATGCGTCCACTGCTGTCCAAGCGTCTCGGTGTCGGCAGCTCATCTCTGCCTTCGCAAAATGTCAGTGTTCTCGACGAACCACGTCGCATTTTGGAACGTAGGCTATACCACCTGTTTTCAAGTCCTTTCACTCATTTTTCATGCCTTTGACATGCAGTAATGATAAATAGTGGTGTAATAGCCTACAGTTTTCTTGACATTTTGTTTTAATTATTGTGATAGGCTCATGTTTTACCGGTACAACGTACCCCCACTATTTATTTTGCCATGACGCCGTACCGGACCGGACCGCTTTACTTTCACACCTAATACTAATTACCAAGTACATATTAGACGGTAAAAGAATGAGAAACTAAAGTACATTTACGTCATTTAGCAGACGCTCTTATCCAGAGCGACTTACAGTTAGTGAGTGCATACATTATTTTTCCATACTGGCCCCCTGTGGGAATCGAACCCACAACCCTGGTGTTGCAAACGCCATGCTCTACCAACTGAGCTACATCCCTGCCGGCCATTCGAACCAGGATCTCTAGTGGCACAGCTAGCACTGCGATGCAGTGCCTTAGACCACTGCGCCACTCGGGAGTACTGAACCTCCTACGTGTGAAGTACAGGGAGTAAAGTACAGGGAGAAATATGTCCAAGCTCAGACATCAGATCACAACCATCCTGGTAGTTAGTGGAAACCCAAAGAAACCCAGGGGAGGGGGTCTGTGTTAGTGGGCAGTGGGCAGCATGTGGAGGGAGCGGGTCTGTGTTAGTGGGCAGCATGTGGAGGGAGGGGGTCTGTGTTAGTGGGCAGCATGTGGAGGGAGGGGGTCTGTGTTAGTGGGCAGCATGTGGAGGGAAGGGGTCTGTGTTAGTGGGCAGCATGTGGAGGGAGCGGGTCTGTGTTAGTGGGCAGCATGTGGAGGGAGGGGGTCTGTGTTAGTGGGCAGCATGTGGAGGGAGCGGGTCTGTGTTAGTGGGCAGCATGTGGAGGGAAGGGGTCTGTGTTAGTGGGCAGCATGTGGAGGGAGGGGGTCTGTGTTAGTGGGCAGCATGTGGAGGGAGGAGGTCTGTGTTAGTGGGCAGCATGTGGAGGGAGCGGGTCTGTGTTAGTGGGCAGCATGTGGAGGGAAGGGGTCTGTGTTAGTGGGCAGCATGTGGAGGGAGCGGGTCTGTGTTAGTGGGCAGCATGTGGAGGGAAGGGGTCTGTGTTAGTGGGCAGCATGTGGAGGGAGCGGGTCTGTGTTAGTGGGCAGCATGTGAGGGAGGGGTCTGTGTTAGTGGGCAGCATGTGGAGGGAGGGTCTGTGTTAGTGGGCAGCATGTGGAGGGAGGAGGTCTGTGTTAGTGGGCAGCATGGAGGAGCGGTCTGTGTTAGGGGCATGTGGAGGGAAGGGGTCTGTGTTAGTGGGCAGCATGTGGAGGGAGGGGGTCTGTGTAGACCTTACCGTGAAATGCTTACTTACAAACCCTTAACCAACAACGCAGTTCAAGAAATAGAGTTAAGAAAATATTTACGAAATAAACTAAAGCAAAAAATTAAAAGTAACACAATTAAATAACAATAACGAGGGTATATACAGGGGGTACCAGTACCGAGTCAATGTGGGGGGTACAGGTTATTCAAGGTAATTTGTACATGTAGGTAGGGGTAAAGTGACTATGGGGGGGGGGGGTGGTCAATGTAAATAGTCCGGGTGGCCATTTTATTAATTGTTCAGCAGTCTTATGGCTTGGGGGTAGAAGCTGTTAAGAAGCCTTTTGGACCTAGACTTGGCGCTCCGGTACCGCTTGTCGTGCGGTAGCAGAGAGAACAGTCTATAACTTGGGTGACTGGAGTCTTTGACAATATTATGGGCCTTCCTCTGACACCACCTAGTAGTGGGCAGCATGTGGAGGGAGGGGGTCTGTGTTAGTGGGCAGTAGGTGGAGGGACGGTGGCATGCTAACCCAGGAGGTTGCAATAACTGTGAAATAAGCAAAATCCCACTAGCAGCCAGACAGTGATTGTCTCAGAAGCATTTTGTAGTTAGGGAGGTGATTAGCAAGGGTTTCCAGGTAAGTAGCAGGGGTTAGAAGCAGAGTTAGTGGGGGACCGGTCCACTGCTTTGAGGCAGGGCAAATCCAGGAGGGTGGTTAAGTAGGGGGGCAGCAGGCTAACCTGATGGTCCCAGGACGGGGTCTGGGGGGGTCAGTCTTACCTCTGGGGGGGCGAGGAGGGGAGGGGGCGAGGAGGGGACTCTGATAAGGCCCTCCGGCCACACATGAAAAGGCATTTCCAGCTGCACACAGTCAGAGACAACAGAGACGGGGTGAGAACAGAGGAGGAAGAGAAAGAGAGAAGGAAGGGGGGTTAGAGCATGGGGTAGGGAACCTGACCAGTAATATTGTGTTGAAGGGGAGTAATGTACACTGTGGGGGGTCGGCGACCGGGGCAAATCCAGTCCCTTCACGTTGGTCCTTTTTAAAACCTGTTTGTTTGAGAAAAAAGTGCCCTGATCTCCTCATAGATGTTGTAGAGATGCTTGTACACTCTCTCTCTCTCTCTTTCTCTCTCTCGTTCTATCTCTCACACATACACACACCTCTACCTGAGAGGCATATTAAGCTGGTGTAGCTGCATTATTCAATAAGCTCAGCAAACGAGTGTAAATCTTACAATGAGTCACGGACACGGTCACACACACTCAACCTGACGACACCCTTATCACTATGTTTCTCTCCCTTTCTCTCTCTCTCCCCTGTTTCTCTCTCTCACTCACTCACTCACTTTCTCTCCCTCTCTCTCTTGCCAAGGGCATACTGTCCATGCCAGAAACCCAGTCTTCTTCGAACACAGCTCCAGTCTTCTCTTATTCCACTATCCTGTATTGTATGCCTGTATCTCATGATGTATCTGAACCCAAATCAGAATTATGTGTCTGTAGACCCCAGAAATCTCCCTCCCTGGTCTCAGTGGGCTGCCATCCTGGCTCTTTGTATGGGGTCTGTACTCTGTACTTTGTACTGTAATGGCCGCCAGTGTATTGTGGTGCAGGGGAAATGAATAGGGCTTTTTGAGCTTTATAACCCCACTGAGTTAGGCCTTTTATTAGACTGGGATCTGGCCACAACTCCCCCACCATCCCAACTCAATACTCTGTCTACACAAACGAAGGTCTATTGAATACTGTATATATAGGCCAATAGTCTAGTATTCTGTGAAATACTTCTTTCTATATACAATTTCTGTATCCTCTGTCTTTTCTAAACACACAGTGGTGTGACTGTAACTGTCTCCTGTTCCCTGACTGTGAGCCTTGTGACTGAACCATTTATCACCACCACAGAAAACACAAACCTCAACTTCTATATCCCCAAATCTCTCTGGCAGGGTTCCCTGTGGAAGCTCCCACCTCATTGACTAGTTGTGCTTGGAAGTCTAACCACGTTGGGCTCTGATTGGATGGTATGGGGAAGTGAGGGCTATGGCCCGCCTCTCAAGCTGGTGCTGATTAGCATCGTAGGGAGGCCCTGGGGCTCGGGGCAGGAGACCCCTCCTTCTGCACAGGGGCTGACTGCTCAGTAATTCAGGGTTTGTGGGGGAGATGGAAGGAGGAGATCTTGGACGATACACAAGGCTCCCTCATGATTGTGTAAGTCTGTATGTGTGTCTCTGAGGATACACAAGGCTCCGTTATGAGTATGTGTGTGTTTGTGTATGTTCACTATGAGTGTGTGTAAGTCTCACTGAGGATGCACAGTGTTCTTCCTCATGAGAGCATTTGTGTGTACGGTACGGATGTGTGTGTACAGTATAGTAAATGTGTATTTATGAAGGGCCCCACATGAGATCAACTGTGTGTACGGTATGTGGGTGTATGCAAATGTTTGTGTGTGTGTCTCTCTAAGGATAAACAAAGGCTCCCACATGAGGAGCGGGGGCAGAGTGAGGGCAGAGCCAACCATTAATTAGAGTAAATAACTAGACAACAGAGAACCGCCTTGCATCCTCCCCTCCCTAATGCTCAGCTATTACAGATACATAGATAATGGTTTCCTGTGTGTGTGTTCGTGATTCTATGCTTCAGTGTGTGTGTGTGTGTGTGTGTGTGTGTGTGTGTGTGTGTGTGTATAGAGTACGCTATGGGTCGATATGTACTGTGGTCATTCTGCATAATAGTGATTTATGCTCACCTCATCTTTCCCCACCCCACTGACCCAAATCGACCAGTGTGTGTATGTGTGCAGTTGTGTGTGTGTGTGAATCGCTGACCATAGACTATAATGTTATGTCCTTCATCACATATATCATCTGTAGCTCGAGATGTTAATAATACTGGCAATTCTGATCCAAGAACAGTTCCACTACTGGGCTCATAATGGCTGAGATTAAGCCTACGATAGGAAGAGCTGATCTGAAATGAGTTAGGGTCAGAAAGCCACTTGGTGACACAGCCCCTCAGCTAAGGACCAATGGGCTAACGACACCACGCTGAATCCTCCAATACGTAGACAGGATGCTGGTGACGGGCCAATGGCGGCCCTTCATTACCTTCTGTTTCCTCTTCTCCTTCCTCTTGTCCTCCGTGTCCTGCAGCATCTTCTCTCTCCACAGGTCAAAGAAGTAGGAGGGGTTGGTGTAGAACTTCAGCCCCTCCTTACCGTCATCCCTGCAGGAGGAAACCACAGTTACCCCTAGACACTGATCTAAGGTCTACTCAGAGCCTTGCAAACCAGTGAAGGCGGATGGGGGATGCGCTCTGATCAGTCAAGTTTGATCTCTCTCTCTCTTTATCTTTTCATTTGTCTTTAATTTCCTCCTGTCTTCACCCTTGACCAGGAGAAGGAGGAAATTATCACTTCAAATCCACTATGACAATGAATTAAATTACCAAACACACACACACACACACCCACCCAAGTCCCACAAATAGCCACATTGACACTCTCTCCCTCTCATACACATGCTAGTCAGTTACACCAGCAAAAGGTGCTGAACTAACTCACTAACTGCGCCATATTCTGCCCTGACAACATCATACTGGTTTCTCCATTAGTCACCTGCAGCGTTTAAAGGGTTACACAACCCATAATGCACCACTTTCTCCTAACTACCATGCTGTGCTCGATGACGAGAGGGCGTGATTGTGACAGATGGATGAAGAGAGGAAGAGGAAACATGAACAGGAACATCATCTAAAGTAGGTGAGGAAGTTTAATGATATGCAACAATATGGGGAAGAGTGTGACAGAGGGGTAGGGTGTGTGTGAGTGCATCATGTGTATGTGTATTTGGTGTGTGTCTGAGAAATTCTGACTGAGTAGTACAGTGTTTATATTGTGATTGTGTGTGTGACAGGGTAGCAGCAGCTGGATCTGAAGAATAACAGCCTGAGGTGTTGCAGACAGACCCCTACAGAGAGAGAGAGAGAGAGAGAGAGAGAGAGAGAGAGAGAGAGAGAGAGAGAAGAGAGAGAGAGAGAGAGAGAACTAGAGAGAGATAGAGAGACGCGAGAGCTAGGACTCGATACGCCTATCTTATAATCTATCTCATCTCTCTTCTCTCTCTCTCTCTCTCATCATCTCTCGCTCTCCTCTGGAGATCTCTTCATCCTCCTCTTTCCTATCTCTGATTCTCTGCTCTATTTAGATATCTATCTCTCTCTCTCTATATGCTAGGATCTCATATCTCTCTCTTCTTCACGCATTCTATGCCATCAAAAGGAACATAACATTTGACGGATGTGGCAAAAAATACTTCAATCAGTTATTGCCCTTTATGGTGTACAATGTAAAACACCAAATAATGCATGCAGAGCAGAATTAGGACGATACCTGCTAATTATAGAGCCGTTAAATTCTAAAATGACCTAAAAGGAAGTTATTCCCAAACCTTCCATAACAAAGTCATCACCTACAGAGAGATTAACCTAGAGAAGAGTCCCCTAAGCAAGCTGGTCCTGGTCCCCACAGAGCCCCAGGACAGCAACACAATTAGACCCAACCAAATCATGAGAAAACTTGACACATTGGAAGGAATTAACCAAAAAATTGAGCAAACTGGAATGTTATTTGGCCATAAACAGACAGTACACAGTAGCAGAATACCTGACCACTGTGACTGACCCAAAATTAAGGAAAGCTTTGTAGGAGACTATGTACAGACTCAGTGAGCATAGCCTTGCTATTGGGAGAGGCCGCCATTGGCAGACCTGGCTCTCAAGAGAAGACAGGCTATGTGCACACTGCCCACAAAATGAGGTGGAAACTGAGCTGCACTTCCTAACCTCCTGCCAAATGTATGACCATATCAGAGACACATATTACCCTCAGATTACACAAACCAATTTTGATAAACTCCCATATCTATTAGGTGAAATACCACAGCAAGATGTGTGACCTGTTGCCACAAGAAAAGGGCAACCAGTGAAGAACAAACACCATTGTAAATACAACCCATATTTATGTGTATTTATTTTCCCTTTTATCGAAGGAAGAAAAGTGTGGGGGGGGGGGGGGGGGGGGGTACAGAAACTAAATAAACTAAAAAAGTGGTCCAGGAGTCCTTCAGAAGTGGTCTATATATAGAGGGGTCAGAGAACATGCTGGGTAGAGGTGTCTGTCTGTATGCAGTCCATAGTAATATCTACAGCTGCTTCTCAGTATAGACTAGCTCAACAGCTGACATTTATCCTAGAGCAGACACAGACACAGAGCCATACAGCTATTAAACCCACACGTTGTCTACAGGCTCTGTGTCTGTCAGCCTACTGAGTAGTAATACCCACACACCTGACTCTCTGTCTGCAGACACTGGGTCAGCTTTAGCCACAGTCATACAGTAGCTTGTTAAACCCACATAACCTGACACTGGGTCAGCTTTAGCCACAGTCATACAGTAGCTTGTTAAACCCACATAACCTGACACTGGGTCAGCTTTAGCCACAGTCATACAGTAGCTTGTTAAACCCACATAACCTGACACTGGGTCAGCTTTAGCCACAGTCATACAGTAGCTTGTTAAACCCACACACCTGACACTGGGTCAGCTTTAGCCACAGTCATACAGTAGCTTGTTAAACCCACACACCTGACACTGGGTCAGCTTTAGCCACAGTCATACAGTAGCTTGTTAAACCCACACACCTGACACTGGGTCAGCTTTAGCCACAGTCATACAGTAGCTTGTTAAACCCACACACCTGACACTGGGTCAGCTTTAGCCACAGTCATACAGTAGCTTGTTAAACCCACATAACCTGACACTGGGTCAGCTTTAGCCACAGTCATACAGTAGCTTGTTAAACCCACATAACCTGACACTGGGTCAGCTTTAGCCACAGTCATACAGTAGCTTGTTAAACCCACATAACCTGACACTGGGTCAGCTTTAGCCACAGTCATACAGTAGCTTGTTAAACCCACATAACCTGACACTGGGTCAGCTTTAGCCACAGTCATACAGTAGCTTGTTAAACCCACACACACACAAACCGACCCTGGATTTAAAACCAGAGTAATCTACACTTGCAGCTGTCTCCTCAGAACCCCCTGTGTGTGTGTGTGTGTGTGTGCGTGTGTGTGTGCGCGCATATGGAGATAGAGACAGAGGCTATTATAGCAAATCTCCACACATACACACACACATGCATGAATGAATGAATGCAAGTAAGATAACACAGGGTCTTCTGCTATTACCCAGTCCTACCAGCCAGGCTAGGTCAACAGCCTTGAATAGCTATGGGCTTCATAAAAAACTCAAAAGTCAGTCACAAACACACACACGCTCGCACACACGTACGCGCACACAGCTGAGAAGCCAGACAAATAAAAAGCTCTGGATCGATTGCTGGGGTTTCATCATGGATATTCTCTCTCTCTCTCTCTCTCTCTCTCTCTCTCTCTCTCTCTCTCTCTCTCTCTCTCTCTCTCTCTCTCTCTCTCTCTCTCTCTCTCTCTCTCTCTCTCTCTCTCTCTCTCTCTCTCTCGATCTCTCGATCTCTCGGACTGGCCTGCAGCCTGCGCTAACAGCCAAGACAGACTGAGAGTGTGAAGAGACACAAACACATAGATAAGACACACACATTCGCACGCCTGCAGGGGAGTGTGCACACACACAAACAGACAACCAAGCACGCACGTCCACACAGTATAAAGATCCAGCACCCAGTTGTCCCTATAAGGTTACAGCTGCTATTGGCCTGGTAGTATTTTGCTTGGTGTGATCCATAATGCAGTGGTTGCATCAGTAGTGTTATCACACACAGACAGACACACAGGCTAAGATTCTAACCAATGGGGTGTGATATTGAAGAGGTGCTCACCAATGACATCCTGGTATGTCAATGGGCTAATCCATAGGCTGTAGAGGTGCTGACCAATAAGGTGTCAAGTTGCAATAACACTATTCAATCAGCAGGGAGGTTGCTGTGAAGCTGACCTGTAGGGTGTGAGGATGTTGAGCGGTGGCGGCTGCTCGCAGAGGTCAAAGGTCTCCTGCAGGGGGATGGGGAGCGACTGGCGGGCAAACAGCTGCTGGTCCTGGATGGTGGAGCTCCTAAACGCCTTCCTCATAGTGATGTCCTGGAGAGATACTGGAGAGAGAGAGAGAGAGAGAGCGAGAGAGAGAGAGAGATCAGGTTTAGTGCTAAATCTACAGCGGGAACACGTGTGCGTGTGTGTGTGTGTGTTTTTACACTCCCACTGTGGACTGCAATAAAAGTAAGGCCAGTAATAACCATCATCATTATGGTAGTCACAATTAGTGTCAGGAAATGTCAAACCCATTGTCATATGCCTACAGGCTAATATTCTATGGCCGCATTTTGTGCAAATGGGCTAACTGCATCCATTCGCTCCAAAGCAAAGCCTGGGTAGATGGCTAGGCTAACACTAACGCTAAAGCTAACCGCTAACCCGTTGGTCAGAGGCAGTGGGTGGAATTGGCCTTCTTTACTGAACCAACTGACATTTTGGATCTGAAGGAGATGATTGTGCACTACAGGAAAAGGAGGACTGAGCACGCCCCCATTCTCATCGACGGGGCTGTAGTGGAGCAGGTTGAAGTTCCTTGTTGTCCACATCACCAACAAACTATAATGGTCCAAACACACCAAGACAGTCGTGAAGAGGGCACGACAAATCCTATTCCCCCTCAGGAGACTGAAAAGATTTGGCATGGGTCCTCAGATCCTCAAAAAGTTCTACAGCTGCACCATCGAGAGCATCCTGACTGGTTGCGACACTGCCTGGTATTGCAACTGCTCAGCCTCCGACCGCAAGGCACTACAGAGAGTAGTGCGTACGGCCCAGTACATCACTGGGGCCAAGCTTCCTGTCATCCAGGACCTCTATACCAGGCGGTGTCAGAGGAAGGCCCTAAAAATTGTCAAAGACTCCAGCCACCCTAGTCATAGACTGTTCTCTCTGCTACCACACAGCAAGCGGTACCGGAGCACCAAGTCTAGGTCCAAAAGGCTGCTTAACAGCTTCTACCCCCAAGCTATAAGACTCCTGAACAGCTAATCAAATGGCTACCCGGACTATTTGCATTGTCCCCCACGACTGCTCTCAGAAAACAGCCTTGAGAAATTGCTGAGAGAGGAAGAAATCTACAAGACAGTGAACCCCTCGATCTAGCTGTGCAAAAAACAACATTTCTACTATGAAAACCCAGAGTGCTATTTACAGATCTATACTGAATAATACATAAAGGAATGACAAGTAGATAAAGCTACTTTACTCTCTCTCCAACCCCAGAGGGGGAATTGAAACACTCACTGCAATTGTCTCTGGGAAGAGTGAGATACAGTTGCAGTTAAGACTCCCGTATGCCTTATCTGGATGTCTATGTCAGTTGTTATAACCCTTCACCCATTATTAACAATGACGTTTTATCAATTCACAAGTAACCAGATGGACTGGGAGTTTAAGTAGGCTCTCTCTCTCTCACTCCCTCCACCTATGAGAGGTAATAACATCCACAGAGCAAGGGATGACCTGAGGGGCTCGGAGACTGAGAACTAATAAACACAATCTCTCTCTCTCAATCTATTTTCAACTCTCTCTCTATTTCTATTTCTCTCTCTCTCTCTCTTTTTATATCCCTCTCTTTCTATTTCCCTCTCTGTCTCAATATCTCTCTCTCTCTCTGTCTGAGAGCTCTTGTGTGGCTCTGTTCATAATAGATAAGAGAGAGAGAGAGCGGTCCCCTGCTGTAACCTAAGCAGTAGTGAGAGTATTGGATGTGAAGGACTTCCTTCTCAGCTGTCACAGAGGAAAGTCTCTAACTGCCACAGTACTCTCCCAGGTAGACACACACACACACACACACACACACACACACACACACACACACACACACACACACACACACACACACACACACTGGGGACCTTCACCTAGGACTCTCTGCCTCTGTGGTAAATAAAAACTAACTCCAACCCAGAGGGAGGAAGAATGGGTTTGTCCCAACGTGTCCCTCAACCCTCCTGTCTCCTCCTCTCTGAGAGTTCTGCTGGAGGTAGAATAGGGTAGGGTGAGGTGGTTAGCCACCTGCTAGACACCCACTTCACAGAGCAATATAGTTTCCCTTGACACATGGGCCAATGCATTTATAAGTGAATATGAAGTCCAGATCTATTCAGCTCAGTGATGGAAACAGACAGATGTTAGCATATAGGTGGATTCAGTAGAGAGCCATGGTGATCCGTTAACACAGCACATTGTGGCAGAGCAGAGCAGGGGTGTGCGGTGGCTGTCAGATCAGGCTAACCGTAGGCGTGACAGCGATCGACAGCATATAGAAGCATTGCAACAGCAGACGTCAGGACACATTTGAAACAGCGTGAAGAGCCAGAAACAGCTCAGCCAAGCAACGGTGGGCTCTACAGATAAGATACACACTACAGAGTACAGGATGCAATGCACACACAGACAGACAGATATAAGGTTTTCTAGCATGGTCATGTACTCAACCACACGAGGTGTGCAAACCCAAACTACAGGAATAAATTGACAAATATTTCTAAACAACATATTTCTTCATCCCTTCCTTCCAAATAACTGAGATGGGACACCGGTGGAGGGGAGGATGCATTTGACATACACATATTTAAGCACGGTCTCTGGGTGTGTATGTGTGTGAGTCTGTGTGTCTCTGTGGATTGCAGGGGCAGCACCAGCAGTAGCAGGTGCTGTATCTCGGCAAGTGTTCCTTATCTGTGCAGCTTATCATCTATGCAGAGTGAAGAGGTATAGTGGATCTCTCTCCCTCCTATCTCCCTCTAGCCCTCTGATAACATCTACCCAATCTACCCTCAGCCACACACAGAAAGAGAGAGAGAGAGCGCAAGAGAGACAGAGAGAGGTACAGACACCCCCCTGGGCAATCTTATCGCCCTCTCTCCCTCCTCTCTTCCCCTACCCCCTGCTTTCCTCTGCCCTCAATCTTTATCTCTCTCTTTCCTCTATGCCCTTCATGTCTCACTTCTAGTCTTCCTCTCTCACTTCCAATATTTCTCCATTCTATCTCTTTCCTGATTCAGCTTGTTTAGCCTCTTTTCCTTCCCTTTTCCCCCTTCTGTCCCTCCCCTCTAAAACTCTTCCTTCTCTCTCTTCCTAAATGTGTCGAGTCCCTCCCTCCCTCCCTCCACTGTTGTGTTGTGCTCAGCAGATGGAGAACAGGGCAGTGCTGGTGCTGCGGGCCCTGGTTCCTCTGTATCCCTCGGCCCTGGTTCCTCTGTCTCCCACGGCCCTGGTTCCTCTGTCTCCCATGGCCCTGGTTCCTCTGTCTCCCATGGCCCTGGTTCCTCTGTCTCCCATGGCCCTGGTTCCTCTGTCTCCCATGGCCCTGGTTCCTCTGTCTCCCATGGCCCTGGTTCCTCTGTCTCCCATGGCCCTGGTTCCTCTGTCTCCCATGGCCCTGGTTCCTCCTGTCTCCCAATGGCCCTGGTTCCTCCGGTCTCCCATGGCCCTGGTTTCCTCCTGTCTCCCCATGGCCCCTGGTTTCTCTGTCTCCCATGGATCCCTTGGTTCCTCTGTTCTCCCATGGCCCTGGTTCCCTCTGTCTCCCATGGCCCTGGTTCCTCTGTCTCCCCACGGCCCTGGTTCCCTCCTGTCTCCCACTGGCCCTTGTTCCTCCGTCTCCCAATGGACCCTGCGGTTCCTCCGTCTCCCGATGGGTTTTCTGTCTCCCATGGCCCTGGTTCCTTCTGTCTCCCATGGCCCTGGTTCCTCTGTCTTCCCATGTGCCCTTGGTTTCTCTGTCTCCCATGGCCCTTGGTTCCTCTGGTCTCCCATGGCCCTGGTTCCTCTGTCTCCCATGGCCCTGGGTTTCTCTGTATCCCACGGCCCTGGTTTCCTCTGTATCCCACCGGCCCTGGTTCCTGTCTCCCACCGGCCCTGGTTCCTCGGATCCCACGGCCCCGGTTCCTCTGCCCCACGGCCCTGGTTCCTCTGTCTCCCATGGCCCTGGTTCCTCTGTCTCCCATGGCCCTGGTTCCTCTGTCTCCCATGGCCCTGGTTCCTCCGTCTCCCATGGCCCTGGTTCCTCCGTCTCCCATGGCCCTGGTTCCTCCGTCTCCCATGGCCCTGGTTCCTCCGTCTCCCATGGCCCTGGTTCCTCTGTCTCCCATGGCCCTGGTTCCTCTGTCAGACTCACTCTCTGGATGTGGACATTTAGCTCCCTGCTGCTGCTACTGTTCTGCCTGGATGGAACAGCTGACAACATCCATTGCAAGGCCTTGGGACTGGGAGGGATGCTCTGTATAAGGAGTAATGTATGGGTGTATAATGACGCGGGTGAGGCTGCAGGTGCAGGTGGATAGATAGCTCATTTTAATCATAATGTGGTCATGATGGACTGAGGTCCCTAAATTAACCTGTGCAAGAGAGAAACAGAGATGAGAGGGAGAGAGAGATATTGTGTGTCTACATAAAGTGCCTTCAGAAAGTATTCATACCCCTTGAATTGTTTCACTTTTTGTTTTGTTACAGCCTGAATTAAAAATGGATTAAATAGATATTTTCTCTCAGCAATTTACACACAATACCCCATAATGTCAAGGGGGGAGAATGCTGTGGGGAGAATGGCTCATAATAATGGCAGGAATGGCGCAAATGGAATGGCATCAAACAAATGGAAACCATGTATTTGTTACCATTCCACTCCCCAGTTAAGGTGGCACCAACCTCCTGTGAACTCCAGTGTATATTTGGCCTTGTGTTCTAGGTTATTGTCCTGCTGAAAGGTGAATTTGTCTCCCAGTGTCTGTTGGAAAGCAGACTGAAGCAGGTTTTCCTCTAGGATTTTGCCTGTACTTAGTTCTATACCATTTATTTATATCCTGAAAAACTCCCCAGTTCTTGCCAATGACAAGCATACCCATAACATGATGCAGCCACCACAATGCTTGAAAATAGGAAGAGTGGTATTCAGTAATGTGTTGTATTGGATTTGCCCCAAACATAACACTTTGTATTCAGGACATAAAGTTAATTTCTTTGCCACATTTTTTGCAGTTTTACTTTAGTGCCTTATTGCAAACAGGATGAATAGTTTGTAATAAAAACAATTTGTACAGGCTTCCTTCTT